TTGAGTGTGCAATGTATGACATGCTCTTGTTTGCTTGACTAAAGCAGTTACCCTGAGACTTTGATAACATGTGTGGCTTTTAAAAACATCATGTGAAGCTCTTGAATGAAGTATAAAAAATGTGACTGGGAATTTTCCTGGTGCTTTGTCCTTGGAAAGATATAAAGAGCTAAAAATGATGAGAACAAGAAGGACAAAAGGCATTCTAAAACTGATTGTGGTGATGATTGTACAACTCTTCTTGATGCAATTGAACTAATGAATTGTATGATATGTGAATTATATGGTAATAAAACTGTAGCGACAAAAAAAAGGTAAAGACACAGACCCACTTCCACCAAATTGATTCTGACCCATAGTGACTCTAGAACAGAGTAGAAGTAGCCCTGTGGGTTTCTGAGACTGTATAGCTTTACGGGAGCAGATAGCTTAAACTTTTTCCCTGAAGAGCAGCTGGGAGGTTCAAACTGCTGACTTTGTAGTTAGCAGCTAGTACACCACTGACTGCATAACCAGGGCTCCTTTTATCTCCCATATTTTATTGTGTTTTTTTTAAATTTAATTTTATTTATTGGGGGCTCTGGCAGCTCTTATCACAAGCCATACATATATCTGTACATATATCCATTGTGTCAAACACATCTACATATGTTGCCATCATCTTTTTCAAAACACTTTCCTTCTACTTGAGCTTCTGGCATCAGCTCCTCATTTTCCCCCTCTCTCCCACACCGGCCCTTCCTTCTCCCACGATAATTTATAAATTCTTTTTTTCCATGTTTTACACTAACTTCTGTCTCATTTCACCCACTTTTCTGCTGTTTGTTCCCCTTAGATGGGGACCATACATTGATCATTGTGATCAGTTCCCCCTTACTCCACACCCCCTTAACCTCCTGGAATCACTACTCCCCTTATTGGTCCTGAGGGGTTATCTGTTCTGGATTCCCTGTGTTGTGAGCTCTTATCTGTACCAGTGTACATGTTCTGGTCTAGCCAGACTGGCAAGATAGAATTGGGGTCATGTGTGTGTGTGTGTGTATGTGTGTGTGTGTAAAGCATTAAAGAACTAATGGAAGGTTGTGTGTTTCATTGGTGCTATACTGCACCCTGACTGACTCTTCTCTTCCTTTTGGACATTCTGACAGGGGGAGTCCAATTGACTACTGATAGGCTTTGGGTCCCAACTCTGCTCGCCCTCTCATTCCCATTGATATGCTATTTGTTTGTTTTGTTTGGGGTCTTTGATGCCTGATACCTGATCCCATCGACATCTCATGATCACACAGGTTGGTGTGCTTCTTTCATGTGGGCTTTGCTGCTTCTCAGCTAGATGGTCACTTGTTTATCTTCAAACCTTTAAGACCCCAGACACTATATTTTTTGATAGTCAGGCACCATCAGCTTTCTTCACCACATTTGCTTATGCATGGATTTTGTCTTCAGTGATTGTGTCAGGGAAGGTGAACATCTCAGAATGCCATGTTAACAGAACAAATTTTTCTTGCGTTGAGGGAGTACTTGAGGGGAGGCTCAATGTCCATCTGCTACCGTAATACTTTATAAGTAAATATATGTACATAGCTCTATTCTCCTGTCATTGTACATAAATGTATTTACATACATACATTCCTGTATTTAGATCTCTGTACCTGTCCTATGCCTCCCAGTTCTTTCCTCTTTTTCCTTTTCCTTTCCTCCCATCCCACTATCATGTTCGGTCTTCATTCAGATTTTGGTCATTCCTCTTGGCTACATTGCCCTTGTTTGAGCACCCGGCAAGCATCCTATGCCAGTGGTTCTCAATCTTCCTAATGCTGAAACCCTTTAACACAGTTCATCATGTTGTGGTGACCCCCCAACCATAAAATTATTTTTGTTGCTACTTCAGACCTGTCGTTTTGCTACTGGTATGAATTGGGCAACACCTGTGAAAGGCCGTTTGACCCCCAAAGGGTTCGCAACCCACAGGTTGAGAACCACTGTCCTATGTCCTCCTCACCATCAATTTTAGATCACTTTTTCTTTCCTTGTTCCTGGGTTTGTTGGCATCCCCCTCCTTTTCTCCCATCTCTCCCTCTCCCATGCCGCCCCCCCCCCCTCCCGCCAGACTGTCGGTCCCATTGTTCTCTCCTCCTGATAATTCATCACCAGGGCTCCTTTAAAGACACAAGAGGGAGCTCTACATAACTAAGAAGAAAGAAAGGCCTTTCATAGTGTGTATAGTACACTATGAGTCAGAACCAACTTGATGGCGCCTAACAACTACAGTGCAAGCTATACTAACCTTGGACAGCTTGAACAATGGTACATACATTTTGTATAATCAACACCTCTGTATTGGAGACAATAGGATATACTGTTCAGAAAACACTGTGAATGTGTATAAGCCATGAACGACAAACCAGGCTTTTATTACATTTTAGCTGTGTGACCTCAGATAAGTCACTTACCTTCCCACTCCCAATCCCTATAAATTTGTTCTTCCCATCCTATCAATGGGTAAAATCATAGTCCCTGTCTATTCCCCCCGCCCCTTAGAAAGCTGTTGTGAGAATTAAAGGACACCTAACACATGCCAGGAGTCCAGAGCATTGCCTGGTCCTAGTAAATACACAGTATCTTTTAGAAATGATTGGGGTTTAAAATATATGGCCAGATATAGCTGAATATTGTATATATTGGGGATTCCTATTTGTCACCCTTGTGCTGGTGGGTCACCTCTGTGCTAGAGGCGAAGCCATTTCTTTCTTATTGGAGCATTTTATAAGTGACTCACCACCATCGTTGTCCAGGTTATCACCACACAGCATTTCCATGACAACATTGCAGCCTGTCCCACTCCAGCCCACCTGACATACACAGTGCCAGCCGTTTTGATCCAAGGTACATCTCCCATTTCCAAAGCAGAGCCCTGGGCAACCATCTGAAAAGGAAACGGAGCAATGATCAAGAAGCTATCTGAGTCGGCTTGGTCCACAATGATGTATCTGTCTCTAGGGAAGCATCTAATCATCTGGGCTCCATTCGCATGAGGTGTTGAATAAATGGAAGAGGAGCATGCTTGCTTGCAGAACCTTCCCAGGGATCTTGTTATCCCTTACTTGGCACTGCTTCCCCGTGGAGAGCCAATTAAGCATTATTAATGCTAACCCCAATTCCCAGCCTCTGGTTCACATAGGATGAAAACCATGGTAGGGGTGAGAATGTTTTTTGTTTCTTAAAAAAAATGCATATCTCCTATCATCTCAATCCAAACGGAACGGATGATGCTATATCTAGCTGTAGCCAATACGTGAGCAAGAGGGAGATTTCGATGACGAACAACTCCCCATAACAACATCGAGCCGGTGCCAATTTTGCCTGAGTGATGCATTGCTTCAGGACTTAGTGATGCTGGTGTACAGTGCAGAGCACAGCGTTCAGTATTTGCTCCTACAGGGCCTTAGAAATGTGCTTCCGTTTCTTTGCATCTAGTCATCTTTTCTCTTACAGAAGATACGACTCTGGCATTGCTCCCCAAAGCTAGCCTAATATTAGGAATGTAGTAGGTGCTCACCAAATGCTTCTGGAATTAATGCATGCCAGGTCAAGACTTTTAGGAATCTGGAGAAACGCTGGAGCGATCAATAGATTCAGGAGGAAACTACTGAGCTAAATGGCCTATCTTCCCGACAGTGGGTCCCTTTTCTACTTTGACTTCTTTGAGATGCCCACATCTCCGTTTTAGCCATTCAGAGTGGGGTTATTCCAAGGGGCAGCTGCACATGGGCCAGCCCAGTGGGCACATGGAGGGAGCCAGCAGTCATGGCAGATCACTTCTGGCAATGTTCCCAGTGGCAACACAGGACCTGCGCTGGAGGGTCCTTGAGAGAGTACAGTTAGGATTCTCTTCCTTTTTGATCTTTGAAAGAAAATTCCACAAGTATAAAGAGCAAAAGCACGGGTTTATAGTTTTTCTTTCATTTGGAGAAATAAAGCAGCGTTTTTTCCAAATGGTTTTCTAAGCAACTATCAACCCAATGAACGGAAGAACATACTCACAAAACGACCAATGGCTGCTGTAAAATGTTAACATATATATTTATGTGACCTATATATTCACACACATATATATCCATTCACATTCACACACATATATATCCATTCACATTCACACACACACATATATATATATCTTTACACATATACACTATGTCCCCAAGAAGTAGTAGAGATGGACATAGATAGGTTTCTGAATAGCGTTTGTCTAATTCCACTGTGATAGATACACAAAGGCTAAGTTGAAATTCGTGATAATTTGAGACACCTCCAGTCTTCTGAGGAGGCTGCTATAATCAAAGGGCCCAAGATCTGTGACGGACCCTTTCTGTCTCTGTCAGCAGCCAATCCCTGTGCGGAATGGACAATGGGGAAGTCCTGTGGGGCTGCTTCTGCCCTTGTAAGGAGAGTGTACCGGGGCTTACAGGCTAATGTTATGTTCTCGAAAAAAGGCCAGTTGTCTCCCTACAACCTCCTTTACGAATGGCCTGATGGTGCTGTAAGCAGACACACACACACACACACACACACACACACACACACACACGCACACCCAGTAACAAAGAAAAATACTCTTTACACAGGAGGCCAAAAAGTGACTTCTTGATGTTGGAAAATGAAATGATTTTTTAGCTCCATTATTAATTCAAGAACTTGACACTCATAATTCAACAGGTTTGCTAAGGTAAAAGGAACAAAACAAAACAAAGTGCCACCCTTCCTTTCCCACGTGCACATCTTGTCTTCACGGTATTTTTCTGTTATCGAGCTGGTGAGGAAAAAGTCAACCCAACTTACCTCGGACGGCATCTAGGTAGTGAGCTAAAGGGGAGGAAACAGAGTGATTGAGTGAGTTTCTGGGCGAGAGGCCTGGACGACGTGTACCACTGGTAGTCTGTTGCCTGCGAGGAGCACAGCAAACGGAGCCACTGACATGCCTGCAGCTCCAAAGCTGGTGCCCTCTCCTGGGCACTTTATGAAGCATATCTTTCCTGGGAAAGATATTAATGACTTTCCTGCAGGAAACTCCATTAGGCTTCCTAAAAAAGTGTCATATTTCATTAGAAGTATAAGAACTGCATTTTCACATTTCCGTAATAACTTCCATGAAAGGGCACTCGCTTGAACTTCTTATTAGGAATATCTTTAGACGGGAGTTCTGGAGTAAGCACCTTTGGTAATCATCACAATATTGAAACCCTTTTATGTGCCGGCAATACAGTTACTGTAGTGCAAGAATGCAATTACTTAAGCTGCATGTGACTCTCGCCCCTCACCACCTTTTTAATGAATCTTAAATATTTTCCACAGTCACAGAACAAGACTTACTGTGCCTTTAGTGGAATAGTAATGTAGTGTATTTAAATTATATGTTATATATATTATATATATTATAAATTATTCTGGCAGGTTCCAACTATTATAACAAAATACTTTCACCTAAGAAATGAAAGCTGTAGTACAGTCTAGTGGGGTGAAAAGAAAGCCCACAACCCTCCTTTTCTTGGCGGGGGCTGGACATGTAGTCCTGGTTCCCGTTATGTACGGAGGCAGAGAGAGCGGACTCCAGTGCCCTGACCGTCATGTCTTTGATGCCGACGGCTGCCCATCTGCTGGTTCTATCCTCAAACACCGGGACAAGGATGGGGGGGGGGGGGAAGGAAGCCCACAAACAATCAATCAGGTCTCCAGAGGCCCACGCTTGCCTATGCTCTCTATACACTTTCTATGTGTTTATGGAATACCACCGGAAGAGTCTGCAACCCAGTTTCCTGAATGGAGTCAAGGGAATGTGATTTGTCTCTGAGTAGACAAGACCTTTGTGGCAGATACATACACATGTCAAAGACTGAGTTGAGGGTTTTTTTTCCTTCCAGAAAATGAACGTGTCTTGTAACAGAAATGCTTATTATTGTTAATGGCTTTGATAGCGTTGCGCTCCTACGTAAATTAGTAATTATACAGGTGCTTCTCCCGGCAGCATTCTTTTAAAAAAAAATCATTTTATTGGGGGCACTTACAGACCTTATAACAATCCATAAGTGAATTAAATCAAGCAAACTTGCACATAGGTTGCCATCGTCATTTTCAAAACATTTTCTGTCTACTTGAACCCTTAGTATCAGCTCCTCTCTTTTCTCCCCTTCCTCCACCTAATTGGCCCTATAGTCTCCCAGGCAGTAATCTGAAACTGTGTGCAACTGGTCAAGTGGTGAGGGGGTAGGTGGGAGGGGGAGGGCAATGCTCCAATGCAAAACACAGAACAGAGATGTTCAATAGCTGCTAGGTCAAGGATACCTGCTCTCAATACATTAGAGACAGTCTCTAATGATATCAAATTGCCCCAGTTACAGTAGGACCCATCTAATGAAATTGCCTTGAAGTGCTTGCAGACCAAAAACCCCAAACATATATTTTTCATCAGGAAAAATTGGCAGTGAATATTACCTTTACAAAAAAAGCACTTCTCTTATAAACTAATGATACGGTCTTCTAATGTATCATCTTTCCTTTAAGTAACTAAAACCCCTTGAAGTCAGAAAACACAAGGAGCACTAAAGTAATGAGAAAGGGAATGATTCAAGAAAGAAGTACAATATTGTCAATAGCACTGGAAGTGGCCTCGTTCAACAAAGCTTTCAAACTTGTCCCCAGCCTGTCTTGTCATCCTCTCTGCCAACCTCAAATTCCATTCAAAAGCTTGGTTAGGGACTCACAAGATGACTTCTACTTCTTCATTCAATCTAATTCATTTAGGTAAAGCAGAATGGTACTTACCAATTGTGCAGTGGTCGCCCTCCCATCCAGGGCTACACTCACATTTGCCATCTTTGCATTGGCCATGCTCAGCACAGTGGGAGTGACAGGAGCGCTCCTCACATGTAGGGCCGACCCAGCCTTCTTCACACTGGCAAATTCCCCTTGAGCAGATTCCATGGCTACCACACTCCATGGTACAGAGCTCTGTTGAGAAGTCAAAGAAGATGTATTGGGGTATTCTATTAAAACCAGTATGCACTGCCTTCAAAAGACCTTCACCCACTGCCACTGAGTGAACGCAGGCTCCTAGCCAAATAAGTTAGAATTACCAAAACGGCCAGTGTATCCATTTTAAATAAGTAAGCAAATTATCATAGAGACGTATAGTGGGTGTGCTGGAAGTGGTTTCTCTCCGATAATCTCAATTTTAGGAATTGTTTTTAAGTTTGAAAAGGTACTGAGACGTCATTCCCCTGGGAGACATGTAACTAAACTCTTTACACGTAACAAAATTTTCACTTCATAGACAGTAGTTAATGTTGCGTAGGTGAGTATATTCTCCTGATAAAGTCTACATTATGGATTTTATTACACGCTGTGTCCATCTACTTACTATTTTATTCATCAGTATTTTTGAGGGCCATGGTATGATGGAAAGAAGAGTGGGTTTCCGAAACGGATACCAGCACTATTGATTACCCACTAATCGGAGGAGACTGACAAGGAGAAGGCAGCGATGAGGGGAAATCCAGCGGATGAAGCAATCACCAAAGCCAAGAGGGGCCCCTCTTCTCAAGAGAGATGGAGTAGTGAACTGTGTCTAATATCATTGAGCGAAAACCAAGGGCAGAGAAGTATCCACTGGATTTAGCAAGATGGAAATCGCTGGTGACTTTAGGAAGATTTAGATTGCTAAAGAGGTAGCTGTAACGATGAAGAGGTGTATGTGGAAGATCACTAGGTTATCAGAGAATTCCAGGAACTAGAAAACACAGCAGAGGATTCAGTCAAGGTAGAATTATACTGGAATAGAACCTGATGATAGATACTGTTGAGTTGATTCTGACTCATAGTGATCCTATGTGACAGATTTGAACTGTCACAGAGCAGAGCCTCATCTCTCTCCTGAGGAGCTGCTGGTGGATTTGAACCACCCACCTCGCTGTGGTTAGCAACCCAATGTTTAATCTGATTTTCTTAATCTCTATGTGAGCAGGTATCCAGGTCTTTCTCCTGCAGAGCTGCTGGGTGGGTTCCAACTTTTCGGTTAGCAACTGAGCCACCAGGTCTTCTTGAAATAGGACCTTGTCACTATATTCTGGACCTAAATCTTTGATATATATATATATATTTGATTTTTAAAGTGATTTTAAGTAGATGTGGCCAAGATGGTTCTGACTGATAGTGACTATAGGTTCAACAAAATGAAGCAGTGCCAAGTCCTACCCCATTCTCACAATTGCTCTTATGCTCAAGCCCAATGTTGTAGCCACTGCACCAATCCATCTTGTCCAGGATCTTCCTCTGTTTTGCCTCCCTTCTACTTTACGAAGTGTGATGTCCTTTTCCAGCGACTGCTCTCTCCAGCCAACATGTTGGAAGTATGGGGGATAAAGTCTCGCCATCCTTGCTTCCAAGGAGCATTCTGGCTGTACTTTTTTCCAAGACGGATTTATTTTTTTCTCCAGCAGTTACATTATAAATTTGAATTTATAATTTCTGTTCCTGTAGTAAACCTGAGATTGTAATTCTCCCCACAGAGTTGCCTCCCTGATACAAGGCACTGAAAACGGAACTGGCATAGATCTTTCAAAGATTACACGACTAAAGGGCCAACGCCAATCAAATCAGAACTTACTGGAACCGCTGGAGGCAACATTTTGCATACATTGCTTTATACAGCATAGGGGAGTATATCATTCTTGTTCTGGCCTGAAAAATAATAGGATGAGATGAATAGTATTGACAAAATGGCAGGCTAGGTTATTCTTAAACCATCTCCATATAAACCCTTGGAGATTTCAGATATAGTGCAGCAATTTTTAAAACGGCATGTCTTAGCGAGGAAGGGAAACCCTCAGGAGCTGGCAGTAAAGAGGACGCTAAAAACCAAAGTGGTAACTTCCCTAAGTCCACCCGCTGGCAGTCTGGAGGAGTGAGGAGACCCAGTAATGGCTAGGGGCTTGAGTATTTACATCCGCAAAGTGATGGAGATGTGTCTGAGGGTGCATTTATGATGGGGATTTGGATTGAGACTCCTGCAAGTAATTCAGGATACCCTGAATGGCAGCAGTTTCACTGAGATGGAGACAAACTTTATCCACTAGCGCAGAGGTATGGAAAAGAAGCACCATCTATAAAAAATGATATTGGTGATTAGTTTGGGGTGTACGGAGCTATATATAGAGTGCCATAAAGTCAGCTCTGCCTCTTAGAACAGAGTAAAACACTGCTGGGACTTGTGCCATCCTCACGATCGTGATGCTTGAGCTCCTGGTTGTGGCCACTGGGTCTGTTCATCGCCTCAAGGCTCTTCCTCTTTTCACACGGTACCAAGTTCAATGTCATTTTCCAGGGACTGGTTTCTCCTGATGCCATGTTTCAAAGTATGTGAGGCAAAGTCTGGCCATCCTGGCTCCTAAGGGCCATTGTGGCTGTACTTCTTCCAATGCATTGATTCTTTTGTTGGCTTCCTGATTTATTGGGTAGCTTTTACATGAATATGGGGTTATTGAAAATACCCTTGAAGACCCGAAGTCCATTTGTAGGCCACTGGACATCCCCTTACAGAAGGGTCTCAGGGAGGAGACGAGTCAGTCAGGGTGTGATGTAGCAGCGATGGGGCATGCAGCTTTCCCATGGTTCCTGGGTGCTTCCTCCCTCCCCCCAACGGTTGTGATCCCAATTCTACCTTACAAATCTGGCTAGACCAGAGGATGTACACTGATACAGATAGGAACTGGAAACATAGGGAATCCAGGGAGGATGATTCTTTCAGGGCCGGTGGTGTGAGTGGCGATACTGGGAGGGTGGGTTGGAAAGGGGGAACCAATTACAAGGATCTGCATGTGACCTCCTCCCTGGGGGACGGATGGCAGAAGGGTGGGTAAAGGGAGACATTGGATAGGGCAAGATATGACAAAATAATAATTTGTGAATTGTCAAAGGTTCATGAGGGAGTGGGGAAAGGGGAGGGAGGGGAAAAATGAGCTGATGCCAGGGGTTTAGGTAGAGAGCAAATGTTTTAAGATTGATGAGGGCAGTGAATGTACAAATGTGCTTTACACAATTGATGTGTTCATGGGTTGTGATAAGAGTTGTGATGAGTTGTATGAGCCCCTAATAAAACGATAAAAAAAAGAAAATACCCTTGAAAGGGTCAATCTCATTTTAGTCTTCAAAGTGATATCTTGGTGTAATAAAAGCGAGATCTTTAAGGAAGTCTTGTGCAGTAGATTTTCCTGTTGCAATATGTCATTTGATTTCTTGACTGCTGCTTCCCTGAGCATGAATCGTGGACTCAAGGAACATGAGATCCTTGACAACTTCAGTCTCGTGTATCAGGGGTTCGGTTGTTTGGGTCTTTCTTTCCATTGAGGTGCAGTCCACACTGCGAGCTGCGGGCTTTTATCTTCATCAGAAAATGCTTCCTCTTGGCTTCCAGCAAGCAGGTGGGTCCGCTGCAAATCGCAAGTTGCTAATGAGCCTTCCTCCAAATAAACATAATAAAGTTCCAATGGGATATTAATACTATATACGATGAAGGAATATATCCTCAGTGACATATTTTAAAACCTTATTCTACTCAGGAGTTAGGTAAGAAATACTCTGTTAAGTATTCACATACAACTTTATAGGTGGAATTCAGTTTGTAGTAATCTTGGCCTATGAAATGTTCACTATTCACTCCTGATCAAAACTAGAAAATCTGGACAAAGTATAGCTAAAGAATCTGTTGGAAGTTGGAGTTCACAAAACAGTCAAGTATTACTGGGCCAAGATCCAGGAGAAAAAGAAAATGAGAGAAGTATGCCTGACATTAAAAGATGCTTTTCTTCTCAAAGTTTCCATCAGTTCTGAAACAGCTAGAAGACTCTGAAGCTGGACAGAGCCTTTGCCAGTCTTGTGTGACAAAAAAAACTCTTTGAATAAATAATGGATTAAAAATGTGTAAGGGGGAAATGATTACAAGGATCTACATATAACCTCCTCCCTGGGGGATGGACAACCAGAAAAGTGGGTTCAGGGAGATGTCGGGCAGTTTAAGTATGACAAAATGATAATAATTTATAAATTATCAAGGGCTCATGAGGGAGGGGGAGCAGGGAAGAAGGGGAGAAAATGAGGACCTGATATCAAGGGCTCAAGTAGAAAGCAAATGTTTTGAGAATGATGATGGCAACAAATTTACAAATATGCTTGACACAGTGGATGTGTGTATGGATTGTACGCACCCCCAATAAAATGATTTTTAAAAAATAAAAGGAAAGAAATGCGTAACACTGAAGAAAATATTTAGCCAAATTCTAATGCAGATCGAGCTAACTAATAGAAGCAGACATACTCAAAATCATAGCAAAGGCTTAACCAGAGGCATCTATTAGCCAAAGGCTTCTATTATATAGCAAAGCCTTATAGTAACCAAAAATATAAGCAGAAAATCAATACGAAAGGATGTGGAGTAGGTGAGCAAGATGATCACCAAATTCAGATTGATCTATCTGGCTTTGGGTCTGTGCGAATTCTGATTCATAGTGACACTGCAGTACAGAGCAGAATGACCCTAAAGTTTCCACGACTGTAAACATTTGTGGAAGCAGGCAGCCTCGTCGTTTTCCCATTAAGTGGCTGGTGGGTTGAAACTTCCTACCTTTGGGCTACCCAATGAGTCAGCAGGGTTCAAAAGAAAAACCCCAAACAACACTCACTGGCAGCAAGGCAATTTCTGAGTCATAGAAAGTTCACTATGAAACACTGCAACAAATGCCTACACATTTTGAAATGTCCACAGAACTTTCGTGACTAAACAGACTTGCCATGTGCTAGGCTGGAAGCAGGTTTCAACACATTTCGAAGTATTGAAATCGCATCTAACATAGTTTTGGTCAATTAAAAATCTTGAAAAGTGGCAGGTTTGATTCCTCCCAGAGGCACCCCAGAAGAAGTGCCAGGCAAACTACTTAAAAAAGAAAAATCAGCCAATG